TAGGAGCTTTGGCTTCATTGTCTTCTGGTTGTATGTTTTGATCTTCTTTGTCATCAAAGTAGGATGATATAGTCTGACTCTTTTTGCGCTGCTTGCTCATGATCTCAGCCAATTACTTGAGTTATAAACTCTTTGTTAAGGTAGGGGGTCTGTTTCCAGTGTGGAGAGTGTACTATCCCAAGCTTCAGGGGTTTTGGGCAGCTGTTTTCAGAGATACTTCTAGGGACCTGTAAATTTTCAGTTCTTCCAAGGTACTATGATCAAGGGTGAGGTGTTTACTCCTTTCCTACCCTGTGCTCTTGTCTATGAGCACTCTTTTCTGTCTTGGAACTGTGAGGAGGGTTTCCTCTCCACAGCCACTACAAGCTCCCCCACGCCAGCGTTCCTCCTCACCTCAGGACCTCCACCCAGAACTGTGACCCAGATCCAAGCAAGAGATTCTTGCCGCAGCAGAGAGATCCCTGCAATCCCCCTCTGATCAGCCACTCAATTCCCCCTCAGTCTGTGGGCCAGAAGCTCAGGAGGCAGCCGCCGCCCTGGGCCGCGCTCAGAAAATGGGGCTGGAATCCCACCGTTGTCTCTCAGCACTGCAGAAACAGACTTTCCCACTGACCTTCTAAGTTGTCTTCGGCATTCATGGGTTGAGAAGTCTTTAAACCGCCACAGCTGCCTGTGATTCAGTCTTCTGAGGCCTACTCCAGGTTTGCTGAGGCCTGCGCGCCCACGCCAAACTGCGTTCCTCTCCCCGCCCGGCGCAATACACCTTTCTGATCAGTCATCCAGGCTGTCTTTGGCTGGAAGTTTGTTTCACCCTGCTTTTTGTGGGTTCTGCTGCTTTAGAATTTGTTTAGAGCCATTTTTTATAGGTATTTGGAGGGGTGTGGGGGAGAACTCAAGCAAGTCACTGCTTTCCCTCTGCCATCTTGGCTCCACCCCTAGGCCAATCACCCCTAAATGATTAAGGATCTCATCCAGGAGTCTCTCTAGCATTCTGGGACTTGAAGACATGGACGCATGTGAAACAGTGAGCATCTGGAGCATTTCACTGTTTACGGAAAATCCCTCCTCAGCTTGGTCTTTGCCCTGGATCTCCCCCGCAATAGTGGTGAGCCCTTTTGACAAGCGTTAGTCTCCCTCTTCTGCCTGCTCTGCTACTCACAGAATTTCAGAGTTGGAAGGGACTTCAGCAGCCGTCTACTTTAACGCATATGGGAGAGGAGACCTCACCATAACACGTCTGACAAGTAGCCGACTCTTTAATAATTGTATTTCCTGAATAAATGTATATTTATGAGTTTTCTAACTGAAAAAAAAAGACCTCTTCTCCATTATATCCTTCAAGGAATCTTGTACAGTTTAAACAATTGTCTTATTTTTATTAATCCATTTTATTTTTACTTCATATTTATTTCTGAATAAACCTCTTCCCACTCTTCTACCAAACAGGCTTTCCCTTATAAGATGAAAAAAAAAGAAGGAAAAAGAGCAGTTCAAAACTAATATTCTTACCCTTTGATATCATATATGTATATACTATTCCACTCCTGGAATCTCTCCTCTCTGCAATGAAGGGAGGGAAGTACATGTGCTCAACTCTTCTCTGGGCCATCTTTAGCCATTAAAATTGCACATGGTGTTGCATTTTTTTAGTTACTGTGTATTTTGTTCTCCTTACTTCCTTCTAACACAGGCCTGTACAACTTGTGCTTATGGCCCTTGGGGCGCTTATAGGATTTCCTCTGCAAACAAAGGATGTTTTCCTCTACATTTTTCAGGGCGCATGAAATCCTTTGGTGTGCTGTAAGCAGCCTGAGAGCTGGAAGTTGTGCAGACCTGCTCTAATGGTTCACATATGTCTTTTCTTGCTTCTCTGAATTCTTTGTATGTGTCATTTTTTAAATGAAGTAGTATCCTTTTATAGGAATGTATCTTAGCCATTCCCCAGTAGAACCTACCAATTTTCTTCCATCAGAAAAATGCTAGTATGAATATTTTGATAAATGGTGAAACTTCCTTTCTGTCTTTGACTTTGTTGTGTTTGTTTAAGCATCAGTGTAAAAGCTTATTATAATATACAAAAATAACATGGGATTATATGTTGTATATTTTATTGTTTGATGGTCTTTACTGATGGAGGAGATAGAAGATAGGACCAAGTGTAATGCAAGAAGAAATGGAATATTTACATTTTTCTGTCTTTCAGGCTGGGAGAGAAGGCCTGAAATCAAACAGTCAGTCCCAAAGCTGGACATTTCTCTGGATGAGTTATGCCAGGAAAACCTCGTAAGGGATGGTACCTGTGCCTCCGAGTTGAGACAAACCTGGGAATGTGGTCCCCAGTTAGAGAGGAAACAGAGCAATGAGGAAAAATCTCATGAATGTAGTGAATGTGGCAAGGCCTTCAGCCAAGGAACACATCTGACTCAGCATAGGAAAATTCATACTGGAGAGAAATCTTATGAATGTAATGACTGTGGGAAGGCCTTCTGCTGGAAGATAGACCTTACTCGACATCAGACTATCCATAGTGGTGAAAGACCGTACGAATGTAATGAATGTGGGAAAACCTTCCGCCTGACTACAGCTCTTAATCTGCATAGAAGAATTCATACTGGAGAGAAACGTTATGTATGTAGTGAATGTGGGAAGTTCTTTAACCGGAGGGCAAATTTAACACGCCATCAGAACATTCATACTAGAGAGAAACCTTATCAGTGCAATGAATGTGGCAAGGCTTTCTGCCAGACCAAAGAACTTACTCGACATCAAAAGATTCATACAGGAGAGAAACCTTATGAGTGTAATGAATGTGGGAAGGCTTTCTTTCAGAAGAGAGACCTTACTCGACATCAGAGTATTCATACTGGAGATAAACCTTATACATGTAATCAGTGTGGCAAGGCGTTTCGACATAGTACAGTTCTAATTGGGCATCAGAGAGTTCATTCTGGAGAAAAGCCTTATGAATGTAAGGAATGTGGGAAGTCTTTTACTTGGAGAACATATCTTACTCGACATCTGAGAGTTCATACTGGAGAGAAACCTTTTCAGTGTAATGAATGTGGGAAGGCCTTCTTTCAGAAAAAAGGACTTACTCGACATCAAAAGATTCACACTGGAGAGAAACCTTATGAATGTAATGAGTGTGGGAAAGCTTTCCGCCGGAACACAGACCTTACACAGCATCAACGAGTTCATACTGGAGAGAAGCCTTACATATGTAAAGAATGTGGGAAGGCCTTTAACAGGAACACACACCTTACTCAACATCAGCGAATCCATAAGGGAGACAAACCTTATCAATGCACACAGTGTAGGAAAGCCTTCTTTCACATAAAGGAGCTTGTTAGACATGAGAGAGTTCACACTGGAGAGAAACCTTATGAATGCACAGAATGTGGGAAAGCCTTCTTTGAGAAAAAAGAACTTAACCGACACCAGCGGATTCATACTGGAGAAAAACCTTATGTATGCGTAGAATGTGGCAAGTCCTTCCTCCGAAAGACACATCTTATTGTGCACCAGAGAGTTCACACTGGAGAGAAACCTTATCAGTGTAATGAATGTGGGAAGGCTTTTTGTCAGAGCTCAGCTCTCTATCTACACCAGAGAATTCACACCGGAGAGAAACCTTATCAGTGTAGTAAATGTGGGAAGGCTTTTTGTCAGAGCTCATCTCTTAATCTACACCAGAGAGTTCACACTGGTGAGAAACCTTATGAATGTAATGAATGTGGGAAGGGTTTCTGCTTGAGCACAGCTCTTACTGTGCATCAAAGAGTTCACACAGGAGAAAAACCTTATGAATGTGATGAATGTGGGAAATCCTTCATTCGGAGGACACACCTTACTCGACATCAGAGAGTTCACAATGGAGAGAAGCCTTATGAATGTAATGAATGTGAAAAGTCTTTTAGTCAGAGGTCACATCTTACTAAACACCAGAAAGTTCACATTTGAGAGTTTGATGAATAATGAAAGGGATGGGGAGAGCCTTCTCTTAGGAGTATAGTTTTTATGTTTATACTAGAAATCTTTTGAATGTATAATGAATGTAGGAATTTGACATCATCTGATACTGGAGAGAACCCTTAATACTGTAAAATCTTTTGAAGATCATCAATGTCAGACAGATTTTAGGCATTGCACACACTTAGCTAAAATCAGTAGAACGCTAAGTAAAAGGAAACCTCAGAGAGAGATCCCAAATTTTCCGTAGTGGTTTTGTCTGCTCAAGTCCCCATGTTTATTTCAGGTGACAAGCTGTTTTCTTAAAAATTTTGGTGAATCCCACAAGTTCTCCCTCATTTTCTCTATAAATTCAGAATCACCATCTGGCTTTTTTCCCCCTTTTTATCATACAGGAAGATATTTTAGATTCCTAAGTATAGGTAGGAAGGGATCGCAGGAATCACTTGATTCAGCCCTCTCTTTTTATGATTGAGGACATGGGCCCAAAAGTTTATGTGTCTTTTTCAAGGTCACATAGTAAGTGATAAGAGTCAGGTTTCAACCCCAGGTCCTTTGACAGCCTTTGGCCTTTCCATGGTACCACACATTCCCTTCTCTTTGGTAAGGCTTCTCTGCCTGTGCCCTTGATTAAATTTCTCCCTCACGTTCTAGACCTTATTCTGGAAGTAATTCCCTCTTACGCACCTTCAGTCTCTCCACTGGCTCCTTGCCAGCTGCTGATAGACATGTTTTTGTCTTGTTACGGGATGTCCTAGCTCTGTCTTCCTCGGTTAACAATTGATTATTTCTAGCTGTTTGAATGGGAGGAAGCCGTAGAATAGCTCACCCCTCCCCCACGCATCTCCTGCCAGCATCGGAATGTTGGGATGTATGTGGCTGGGTGTCCCCGAGGGATCCTGTGGACTGGACTGACAGAGTCTGACTTGTGTGTCAGACCGTGCTTTTACTTGTATTACCTCCTGGCAGAGCTGTTGGCAGGAGGTATGGCATTGAGTTACAGCTTTGGGCCTTAGCATTAGAGCAGGTGGCTAGAAGCATGTGGCCTAGTTTGACTGAAAGCAGTAGGTAGGGCCACTGCAGTTGTGCCCTTTGGCCTTATTTCATTTCTCCTCCCTGCTCTCTGCTGAGGGAGCAGGAACCCAGGGACTTCCCCTCTTCCTTGTTTACTTGCACGGTCAATGGGCACGTGGAGATCCTGCTCCTGTCTTCTGAGCCGAGTGGAGAAGTAGAGCTGTTTCTCATTTTCCTCCTTTTCTTTTCCTCCGCTTCCCTCCTTTCTTTCCAGACTCCTTCCTGCCCCCAGCATGAATCCTCTCTGCCAGTTCTGGAACCATGATCAAATCCACTCTGGCATTGTTCTGGCCTCCAAGGGTCAGTGTGCTCCCCTCTGGCCCCACTGACCTCTGCTGTAACCAGGGTGCCCCTCTGTGGTCACTGCTCCACTATGTGTGCTTTCTCAGTATCCCCATTGGAAGGTAAGCTTGTTGAGGGCAGGGTCTCTTGTTTTCTGAGTTATCTCCCCAGTGCTTAGTACGGTGCTTGGCATTTAATAGATGCTGTTTCATTCATTCAGTTTCCCATTCCCTTGAGGTAAAAGTTTCCCAAGTTCTGGCATCTGGCTCTCTTATTCCATACTTTCTGTTGAGACTCTCCCATAATTAAGATAACCAAGGTATATACTTGTATAAGGAGCCAGGATTGAGGAAGAAATCAGGAGAGGGGCTTGGACAGCAGCTGGATGATCTCATAGAGTTATAACCCAAACCTTTCCAACCTCAGCCTTGCACATACAGAGTTTGTTTTAGTGATGTCCTTTTTTGCACTAATTTCTCAACACACACCACACACCGAACCCTCGTAACAAATGACAAGCAAAAATGAACGCTTCTGAGAGTGTGTTCAACGTTCTTCACCTGCAACCCCTCCCCCTCTCTACCTTGGGGAGGAAAGTGGGTGTGTTTTGTTGTTTTCTCCAAGTTTTGCCATTTTAAAATTTCTGTCTGAAGTGTTTTATCTCAGAAGATGCAGATAATGACTCAGTAGTCCTTGAAGTGAAGCTTCAGACCAGACTCAGTATTATCAACAGGAAAGGTTCTTTCCCCCCAGGAGTCCAATTGGTCACAAAAGTAGGGAGAAGTTAGGATGATCAGTGCCTGAACTGAGGAAACTATTCACAAGTAAGTATGGTAAGTACTGACTAGAGTAGAGGACGTGGTATTGTTGAAAGTAGACTGGGCGAATCACAGATTATGCAGGTGTATGCCGGGGCTATTCTAATAACGAGAAACAGTGGAAGCAGGATGTCGTGGATCGTCGAGTTGCGTTTGGAGGGGGTGAGGGAGGAGCCGTGCCTGTGGACACTGGGAATGGTAGAGAATACTGAATGTGAAGTGCTGTATTCTGAAGGAAGAAATTTTATGTATGTTTTATGTTGCAAGCGTATTTCTCCCTGCTGCTAGCTGGAGCTAAGTGGGCCAGTCACGTACTTAGATAAATCCAGGGTTCATCTACATTATTCCCTGACCTCCAGTAACCATGGTTAAGAAGGAGCAAATATCAGAGGTTCACCTGTCGCCTTTCAGCAGAGTGCTTTTTGCTATGTGGGTGTGGGAGATGCCTGTTGAAACTCTTGCTGATGGAGGGGTAGTTCTTTTGTGATAGATAATCTTAGAGAGTTGCTTGCGATGCTGAATGCATAGCTGACTTGCTCATGTTTGCACAACCATTATGTATCAGAGGCAGGACTTGAACCCAGGTCCTCCAAGGCTGGTCCTCTGTCCCCTACACCAAAAAGCCTGTATTTTTAAAAGATAACAGTTAAAAGTTGAATCCTCATACCTCTGTGTAGTGAAGGCAGGAAGGGGTGAGCATCTTTGTGCTCATTCACAGAGATTAAGTTTGAATTATCACTATCATTGTAGGCTATGTGTTAGTGTTGTGTTGATTTTCCCAACAATAATGCAACAGGATTTTATGGGTGAAAAACAACCAGTTAAAACTGTGAATGGTAATGGTCTGAATTCAACCTGAAAAATGAAGCAAGTTGTGGGACAAGTAAGAAAACAACACTATATTGCCTAAAAATAACAAAGCAGAGATTTATACATACAAATAATGTTAAAATAAAATCTGGTTTGCCTCAGATGAATTGTAAAGAGCAGGAGTTGCAATCATCACTTCTGATGAGGCAAAAAATTGTTCGTGTTCTAATGCATAAAGAACTCAGTCAAAAGTAGAGATCTTAAATACTTTTTAGATCTTTCTTATTTGGACTTATGATTTCCTCAAGGAATTCCTTAATGTGTAAAGTCCCTCCACTGATGCAGATTGGGAACTCATCTGTAATTTGTAGTGTCTTGAGGCAGAGTTTAACATTTGCTCAGAGTCACTCAGCTAGTGTGTCAGATGTAGGACTTGAATCCAGATCTTAATTCTAAGACTGTCTCTCTATCCATGTTTGGTCTCAGAGCACTTCAGATCATAACACAATTAAAAATTATAACCGACAAGTTAAAATATGAACAAAGGATGTAGTAGTCCGAGCTGTCTGAATGGGGACCCAGCTGACCGGTTCCAGTTGGGCAATTCAGCTTGTCCCTCTTCCCTCCCCTCCCCTCCCCTCACCTCTCCTCTCCTGTCCTCTTCTCTCCTCTCTGTTACCTGAGGGTGTTCTGCCCAAAGGAAGGTGACTTTTGATGACCAAAAGCTGCCTAGTTACTTTGGGGTTACTGGTTAGATTTCTTTCTCAAAGACTAAGTCTTAAACCCAATTCACTCTGGATCTCATGGATTGGACAGCAGGAGGTCCCTGCCCAAGCACCACTTAATGGTTATTTTTTGGGCCCTTCTGGCTCAGAGTGAATGTAAATAGTGACTGTTTCTCTTTTGCCCAGCAACCCTAAGGATCTTCCCCTCCCCATTTTATTTATTTATTTATTTAGTAAAAGGGCCATCCCTTGACTCACTTGTTGCCTCACTCAAAGTAAGAACCTAAAAAGACCTTAGCTTAAAAGGGCCAGGGTCTCCCACTGCATCCTGGGCCATCTCCAGCCATACTGATGGTCACCGGACCCAGATGGCTCTGGAGGAGAAAGTGAGGCTGGTGACCTTGCACAGCCCTCCCTCACTCAAATCAAAGTCAATTGCAAGTCTTGTCATTTCCCTGCAGTCATGGGCCTCTTCAAGAACAAAGGACAGGTTCTGTACAACCACAACTTGTACAGAGGCATCTATCTGGTGGTGCAGTGGAGAGAGCACTGGGCCCGAAGTCTGGAAGACCTGAGTTCAAAATTGAGGCCACACTAGCTGTGTGACCCTTGGCAAGTCACTTAACCTCTGCCTCAGTTTCCACAACTGTAAAATGGAAATAATAAAATGGGGCTCCTAATAGTACCTACCTCTCAGGGGTGCTGTGAGGATAAAATGAAGTTTTTTTTTAAGTGCTTAGCGCAGTACCTGGCACCGAGGAAGTGCTGTACAAATGCTACTTCCCTCCTCTCCCTTTCCCTGCTTTGTGCTTATGTAATTGTTAATGGCATCTACAGACGATGCATTCTGAAAGTTACTGCAAAATTTCCTGCCCTCTTCCTATGCTGGAAGCAAGATCTTTCATCTCCTTCTCCTTGGTAGAGGTCAGAGCTGCCCGCTTTTTGGAATCTTGTTACCTGAAAGTCTCATTTCAGCTGCATGAGGCCACTTCATTTTATTGTTTTGTGAATCGATTTTTTCAGTGATTAGGTATTGATGGGGTTTTTTTTTCCCCTCTCTCCTACCTCTTCTCCAACTGGGGGAAAAAAAGAGAAAGGAAAACCCTTGTTCCAGATACCCATATGGACCAGAAATGTGTGTTTCACAGTGCCCATTTAGTCCATCACCTCTGGTAGGTGGATAGCCTCAGGTCCCCCAGGTGTGACTGTTCTCTCTCCAACCCCCCCCCCCCATTACTTTGAATTTACTTTGTATATACTTAGCTAGAGCAGAAGCTTGGCGTCAGGGAGACCGAATTCAAATTCTGCCTCAGTTACTAATTGTGTGACTGTGGCCAAGTCACTTAGCTTCTGTTTGCCTCAGTTTCCCCATCTATAAAATCAGTGCAGTAGAAGTGCTACCTATGATTATGTAGCACATCTCCCCTTCCTCCTTCAGATCTTAGCAGAGATTCACACTGTCCGCGCTGGACAGTGAGGTAGAGTCCTGTGAGTATGTGGGTTCTTCTTAACTATCGGTTTTTCAGCCTCTTTCTGGCCTGCATACTCCCACCCAGGTATAGGTCCCTTTCCATGACTCTCTTCAGCCGGCATGCACTCATTGAGCAGTATGGGGGTGGTCCAATCAGAAGAGTGGCTGTTGTTTGCCTACCTTGACTTTGACCTTGGAGAAAGAGCAAGGTGCTGTTAAGGCCTGCCTCTCTCACCACTCCCCCCTTTTCAGTATTCATTGCCGTTTAAAGGATTATAACATGTATGGTCTGGATCTCTCAGTGGGAAAACTCGCTTTACATACATCATCACCATGTTCTTCATTCATCCAACAAACACTGGAGGCCTACTATGTGCCAGGCACTGGGGATGCAGATATAAAAGGGAACCAGCTCCCGCCCTCAGGAAGCTTTCATTCATTTGGGGGGAGACAACATAGAAACACAAAAGTAAAGACAGTATACTGTGTAATTTTGAGGGGAAGGACTAGAAAGGGGGGATCTGGATAGACTTATTTTGTTATTTATCCCTAGTGCTCCAGAAGTCCTTATTTCTATTGAAGGGACCATCATTTTCCAAGTCAAAGCCTTGGAGGCTGTCTCTGTCGCCTGCCATATAAAAGTGATGGCTGTTGAAATGATCTGCTAATGGGATTCCCTGCTTCCAGTCTCTTCCTTCTCCAGTCTACACAACACACCTGTCAAATAAGCTCATGAGCAGTTACCCCCTAAATAAAGCCTTTTAATCTCGGCCTGAAGTTTTTTTTTTTTTCCTTCTTTTAAATGGTATCTTATTTACTCCAATTACATGTAAAAGCAGTTTTTAACATTCATTTTTAATAAAATTTTGAGGTCCAAATTTTCTCCCTCCTTGCTGAGACACTAAACGACTTGATACAGGTTATATATGTGCAGTCGTGTAAAATATTTCCTTATTAGTCATGTTGTATAAGAAGAAACAGAACAAAAGGGAAAAAAACTATGAAAAGAATAAAGAGAAAATAGTATTTAGCCTGCAGTTCTTAGGGCTCTCTTCCTCCTTAGATTATTTTGTCTTTCCTGATCTGAGTGGAGCTTTCCTCATTCCTTTCCCTTCCCCGTAGTAGAATATCAGGCTCAGGGCAGAGACTGTTTCTGTATTTTTCAACCCAGTGCACAGTAAGGTGCTGTAAGAATTGTTGGCTTGAACAAACTTAATATGGATACTTGTAAAGTTCTGTGCTCGGGTCCATACAATCAGATTTCCCAAGTACAGGACATGGAAGATGTGCCTGGGATGGGGGAAATGATGTCCACAGTGCCGTCTCCATTGGTTGGGTTAGATCTCAGGGTCAGTGTTCACTGCTGAGGGCTACATTTTAGGAATGATTAATGAGAGCAGTCCCAGGAGAGCAACCTGTGTGAAGGAGCTGGGAAGCAACCAGCCTAGGAAGAGACTCGGGCTGGAGCATGGGAGCATGCGATCTGTCTTCAAGTATCTGAAGACCTGTTTATGTGGACCAGGGATGAGGCTTGTCCTGGGTGGCAGTGGGGGAAGTGACAAAGCCTACCTGGGAACAGCAAGCAGGTCCCTCCGGGCAATGTAACGTGTTTGAAGGGGAGTGAGGCAAACCAAGTTTGGAGAGACCAGCCCGGTTAGGAAGGACTTGAAAGGCCAAATAGTTTATATTTCGTCCTGGAGGCCAGAGGGGAACCACGGGAGCTTTTGAATAGGGGAGTGACGTGGTCAGACCTCTGTCTGAAGAAGATCGATTTGGCACCTTTGGAGGATGGATTGGAGTATTCAGTGCCTGGAGGAAGGGAGATCAGTTAGGAGGCTGTGGCCATGGTCCAGGTAGTAGGCCAGGGCTCACTCGCGACAGTCTGATAGTTCAGTTTCTAGATTGGAATGAAATGAGACTGGTAGTCTATCCATCAGTGATCCAAAAGAGGTTTGCTCAGCTGTAGCATGGAATGGCTATTTAGCAAAGATGCAACATTGATTCATTTGGTGTGACTTCTCTTTCCTCGGTGTTGCCTATTCTGGTCTGCTGGTCAGAAGCCTGTGAGAAGAATTGCCTTTTCCTGGCTTTCTTGTACCTGAGCCACCAGGAAGCTCTGTCAGTGACCTGAACCTTAAGTTACAGTTAGGTTACAAAGATGGTATCAATACCTTTTAAGGAAAAACCAGCCTAGCTTGCATGGAGTCACACCTAAGGATATCACCCCTATCAGACCTGGGATCTGTCAATTCAGGGGTGGTACGAGTGTAATGATGCAGAAAAGGAAAATGGGAAGGAACAGCCACAGAGGTAGGAAGAGAACTAGGAGAGAGCAATGTTTGGAAAACCCAGGGAGGAAGGACTGTCCAGGAGAAATGCTAGTGCACCGAGAGGAGAAGGGGTCAGCGGTGGCAAAGACTGCAGAGAGGGCAAGAAGGACGGGGATGGAGAAAAGGCCTCTGGGTTTGGTGTTGCCATGAAGTGATGCTTGGGAAGGCAGTCTCTGTTGTTAGTACTCGGATAGTTAGGGCTGTTCTCCTGTGAACCAGCCACTGGCAACATGGGTCATTTCTGGCCTTCTGCTGCTGCAGCAAAGAAAGTGATTGTACTTAAGTCGATGGATTTCTCTATTTCCTTTCTGGCAACCTTGGGGTATAGACCCGGGTCAAATAGCTTTGTGGGCTTTGCTCTGTTCTGATTGTGTCACAGTGGCCTGTTTCTCCAGAGCTTCACCAACATTGGATCTTAACATTCCATATCACAGTTATCCCTTCACATCGCAAGGGTTAGGGGCGCTGGAAAAATCCGTCTAAAATTTTTTGGCCCTCCCTTCGTACTAGAGAAGATGTCCGAATTACTATGGTATTAAAAGATAAAATATGTTGATATTATACAATATTATACATATATTTTATGCATTTCTGAGTTTCTAAACTTTTATGTGTGTTGTCTACTGGCCTTTGCATGTCATCTGTGGCTTCTGTAAAACTCCCCCAAAATTCCCATTTAATTTCTTACGCTGACTCATAATATATTGAAACTGCAATGGGGAAAGTTGCCGTGTGGAAGGAATAACTGTATTTTGTTTAATTGGTGGTGTATTAGGGTTGTTCTTAATTACATTTGTTTGTGTACTGGGGAGTTTGAACATGACAATTTTTATGTTTCCTCTAAGAAATGGCATCTTTTGTAAATTTATGTCAATTTGTTTTACATTTTGAATGTCAAAATCTCTTTTATATAAGCAAATTCATCAATTTTTTCTGTAGTGATTTATGGTTTGCTGAATGGATCAGAGTTTCCTTTGTCTCCACAAATATGATAGATGTGTCATTTTGGCTCGTAATAATTTTTAACATGTTTTTCTTTTCTTATATATTTGTACCACTGATCTACTTGGAAGTATTCTAGTATCTATAGCATCAGATGGGGATCTAATCCCAGTTATCATTTCACAGCTGTCCAGTTTCCACAAATATTACCGAATAATGAGTCCTGTGCACAATGTTATGTCATCTAGGATTTGTTAAATGCTCCTCTGCTGGAAACTTTTTATTCTCTTTTTGGAATGTCTTTTCTGCCCCCCATATTTATTTTTCCAGCTTTAGTCTAAACATAGATAGCTTTCACAATGACAGCTTTGTAGGGGGAGGTGAAATCTCTCACGGTAAGGCTTTTTCTCTTCCTTCTGACCCCCCCGCCCCAGTGCTCCTTAATGTCCTCATCTGCTTATGTGTTTTCCACATAAATTTTGTTGTCACTTTATTTCTATAAGAATGCCTATTGGTATCTGGATTGGTGTTATATTAAATTTATAAATTAATTTGAGTGGTATTCATCTTTTCTAGAAACGCGGATGAATTTTTGGCTTATCTTACACCCTGCTGTCTTGATGAAGCTAGTTGTCATCTCAATGTATATTTTTTTGTTCAATCTCTTGGGTTTTCTAAATATATACCATCATATTTTCTGCAAATAGAGCCATTTTAATGTCTCTGTCTATGCTTGTTCCCTTAACTTCTCTTTCTTGTCTTTACTGCAATAGATTGAATTTCTGAAGCTATGGCAAATGATTTTTAATGAATGAACGAAAAAGCATTTATATGCACTTTACACGTTGTGCCAAGCACGGTGCTAAGTGCTGGGGTTAGGAAGCAAAGTGAGCCCCTGCTCTCCCGAGCTCTTGTTCTAAAAGGGGGAGACTGTGCAGGTAGGAAGGTTCAGCTATAAGGGAACAAAAGTCTGAGTGGTCATTGGGTACACCATCAGGTCAAACGGCAAGACCAGGTATGCTTAGGGTGCATCAATCAGCAGGTCAGATGGCAGTGCTCAGGGGTCTGGAGGGCAGATGGGGAGGCCCCAAGAACCTTAGCATGCAGCGGCAGCCAAGATGGCGAGGCCTACCTGGTGGACCTCCCATCTCACCAGCAGGACCCTCATCGGTGACTTGGCCCATCCAGGCCTCATGAGTAGCCATGTTGCTCTTTCCACCTGGCTTCCCCGTGGGGCCTGGCCACCCTGTGGGTTTGGGGCAGGACTAAGGACCATCCGACTGCCCCATGACTGGGGGTCGAGAGAGGGGTGAAGGGAAGGGAACTATTGTTTCCCCCCCAGTTTTACTGAGGAAGGCTCGATATAATCTCCATCAGATGCATGGCTGCCCCTCACTTTCGTCAAGATGCTTTCGTTCTCCTTCAGGAAGACTCCATCCATTCCTGGAAGGATGTGGGTTCAGATCTCCCTTTTTGCTCCCTGCCTGTATGACCAGGGGCAAACTCCATGATCTCTCTGGGCCTTGGCCTCCTTCTCAGGACAATGAGGAGGCTGGGCTCGGTGAGCTCATGGTCTTTTCTGCTTACGTGTCTAGGCTCCTGTAACTGGTCTAGACTCTCTTCAGTGCAGAAGAAAAATGGTGGTGAAAATATGAGCAGGACATGTTTCTGGACCCCAGAGGCCTCCTTTCGGGTGTGTTTGATTTTAAGCATCCTATTAGCTATCAAAGGTCTATTTTGTTACCATTGATTTAATCTCACGCCACGAGGTTTCTTACTGCTCTGCTGTCTGTTGTCGGTTGTTTTCATAATTGCCTGCCTGGTCTGAATTGTGCTTCATCCTAATGAGTCCTTTTTTATTTTTTGGGGGGGGCTACTTTTTCCGTGTTATTTTTATGTAGGAATTCATTAAAGATAAGGCCTTGTGGCTTTCCCAGAACCACAGAGTCTCAGACTGAGACGGGAACCACGAGGCCACTGAGGCTAAGCTGCCCCTGAACAAGACGACGGGTGATCATCCCACTTGGATTTGAAGACTTCTGGTGAAGAGAAGCTCACCGCCTTCTGAGCCAGCCCCACTCTGGAATAATGTGAGCGTTTGGAAGCTGTCACTGACATCTAGCCTCAGTCTGCCTCCCGGAAACTTCCACCCACCGCTCCCAAGTCTCCCTCTAGGGCCGAGCAGAACACGACTCGCCCTTTTTCCAACTCCTTAAGTATTTGAAGTCGCCCATCATGTCCCTCCAGGTTAGACATCCCCTGAGCGTAATTGGCGTGAACTAAAAGATGTTGAGCATCCTGGCGGCCCGGCTCTGGGCGCTCTCCGGCTGTGGCCCCTAATGCTGGCCACAGCGTTCTTGACGTGGTCTGAGCAGGACAGAGAAGGGGGCACTGGGCGACCACGTTCTCCGAATGCAGCCCAGGCCGCCAAGAACTCTGTTATCGGGGGATCTCAGTTCCTTGCTTTAGCTTCTCTTTCTCCCAGTCATGATGGGCGTCCAGCCTGGAGTCTTACCTCTGATACTAAATCTGTGGCTGTTGATGATTCCTTTAACTGCTTCTGGACCTGGTTTCCTTGTCTGTGTAGAGACTGGAGTGGATGGTTTCTGTTGTTCGGCCCGTCTGGTTCAGGATGACTCGTTGGTCAGAATGTTGAGCCAGACGTGGCCTCCTGTGGCCTTCATCCATTGGTCCTGACTTTGGCCCTGCCTCTGCTCTTTCTAGCGACGCGGGGTGACCAGAGCGCCGTGGCCTGGTGCGGCGAGCGGCTTTAGCCTCTTCTGGAGTGAGGACCAACTGGTTCAAGTCTTGTCTCTGACGAAAGCCCGCTGTGACTGTGGGTGGTCCTTTAACTCCTCAGGCCTCCTTCTTGACCTCTGCAGCATCTGACACCCTTGACTGACCCACTTTGGGACTGGTTTCTCCTTCCTGGCAGCCTTGTCCTCTTGTCTCCCAGAGGGAGCTGGTGGTGAGTGCCGGGATGGAGTCAGAGCGACCTGGCCTCAGACACTCCTATCTGTGGGACCCTGGCCAAGTTTCTTAATATCTGTCTGCCTCAGTTTCCTCATCTCTAAAATAGAGGTAGTGGCAGCAGGGTTGTTGTGAGGATCAGATGAGGTAATAATGATAAAGAGTTTTGCCCAGGGTGTGGCACACAGTAGGTGCTCCTGTTTCCTCTGCCCCTCCCGTCCTGGGTTTTTGTGATGCTGCTCTGCTGTGGGTCTCCTCTCACCTGTTTGATGGCTCCTTGCTTTAATCATTCATCTTTAACCTGTCCTCTGTCCTGCCCCTTTCTCTCTTTGCCCTCACTTTTCTGGTGATCTTGCTGGCTGTCTGTGGTTCAGCTATCACTGTGAAGGTGATAGCTTTTGGACCTCTGTGTCTAGCCCTCGTCTCCCTCCTGAGCTGCAGCCTCCATCTATGTCCACCTGCTGGATAACTCCACCTAGATGTTCCAGAGACATTTCAACACGTCCAGATAGGACTGACCATGCTGCTCAGCTCGAGAAGCTTCTAGAGTGGAAGAAAACCAACCAGCTTCCTTTGGTAACTTTCTAAGAATTTAAGCTGCAGCTACGGGGCTAATGCATTGGTAGAAAGAGTTTCCTTAACTGGGCGCTCCCTGTGTCAGTGAAATCAGAAGCCAAGCCCCAGTTGGTTTCCCTTCCCAATCTGGCCCCAGCGCATTTCCCCAGGCTGACTATTATACATGACCTATCCTCTTCCCACGCTCTATCTTTTGGCCAAACAAGCCTATTTAGTATTTGTCCCCTGTGCACATTCCTTCCCTTCTTACCTCTGAGGCCTCGACCAGGCTGTGTCCCATGCCTAGAATGCTCTCCCCCATTTCCTCCAAGACTTACTTAGTTCAAGGGCGTTCCCTACAAGTCCCCTTTCCTGAATTCCACAGATAGGCAAGAGAATTGCGTGCTGGCCCCAAAGCCAAGAAGACCTGGTTCTCCCTTTGTGACACTCACTTGGCTTGGTTGACTCTGGGCAAATCACTTAAACCTCTCAAGGCGCAAGGCAACTTTTAAAGACTATAACAGAAGGGGCTGACTGCATCGGCAGAGGGAGTTTTCTCACCTGGGAGTTCCTTACACCAATGAAATTACAGGTCTGGTTTCTGGAGTAGTGTCTCCACCCCCACCCCCACCCCCACCATTTTAATTTTGTGTATATCTTTTATTTACTAGCCCGGGTATGCATCATATCGCCCAGAAGAACGTAAATTCTCTGAAGGCAGGAATGGTCTCATTTTTATCTTTGGATCTCCAGTGCCTACCACAGAGCCTGGCCTATAGTAGGTGCTTAATAAATGCTTGTTGAATGAATGGAATGGAATCAAGCTCGTTTCTATTTCCCCCCAAACCACTTGTGCTTCTATGGAGAGAGACCTCCATTCTTCCAGTCACCCAGGTTTGCAGGCTAGGAGTCCTGTCTCTGACTCTTCACTCATCTGCCCCATATGCCCCCAAAGCTCAGCCAGGGACACTTCTAAGAAGACGCCTTTGTTCATTCTCCCAGTTCTCACCGAACTTCCAACATTTACTTGGTATTGGAAGGAAACTATGGCAGAGGGGATAGAGAGCTGACCTTGGAATCGGAAAGACCGGAGTTCAAGTCTTACCTTTGACGTACATTGGCTGGGGGGACTCTGGGCAGATCATGGAAGCTCTCAGCACACCAGGCAGCTTTAATTCAAGAAATTCGGCAAGCATTGATTAAGTGCCTACTATGTGCCAGGCACTGCGCTAAGTGCTGGCAATACAAAAAGAGGCAAAAGACAGGCCCTGCCCTCAAGGAGCTTACAATCTAATGACTGGAGTCTAAAAATTCTGAAGTTGCAGGGCTCATGTACTGATTAGCATCAACTGGAGTTCCTGACTCAACTCTGATGAAATCAAAGACCAGATTGCAAAGGAAGGATTTTGGATTGACTTCTCTGAGTACTTGTTGTTTCCCCTAAGCACAGTATAAGCTCCCTGTAGGCAGGAACTGTTTTGTTTTTATCCTTGTACCCTGGGCCCCAGTATAGTGCCGCACACTTAGTAGGCACTTCATCTAGCCACCATCCCAGCTCGCCTCTACTTTTCCTTCCCACATGCCGTGTCCTCCATGCCTCAGAATCTGGTTTATTGAAACTGCTCTCTCTCTCTCTCTCTCTGTCTCTGTCTCTGTCTCTCTCTCTCTTTCGTCCCTAGTGACCACTGAATCACCAGTTACATCTGCTTTCTCTCCTATTCTCCTCTTCCTCTAATGCTGGCCTTCTAGGTCCTCGAGTGCGACCTTTTGGCTGAATCCAAGTTTGACAGGACAAATCCTGTTATTAAGGGGATTTGTTCTGTGAAGTTTGGACTCAGTCAAAGGGCCACACTTGAGGACCTAGAGGGTCACGTATGGCCTCGAGGTCGTAGCTTCCCCACCCATGTGTCTAACCCCTTTACATGGTTGAAATATCTGACCCTGTCACCTGCATCCTGTCCTCTTTCTTGTCTTTGGAGACAAAAGACCTAGGCCTAGAGCTGGAAGTCACCTCAGAGTCCATCTCGTTCTACCCTCTCATTATACAGATGAGAAAACTGAGGCTCGTGAATGTTAAGTGGCTTGCACAAGGTCCAGCTGGTAATGAACATCAGAAATCAGCCGCAAGGTAGCACAGACAAAGCTGGGGTCAGGAAGGTCCCAATTAAAATCCAGCCTCAAACACGAGCTGTATGACCCTGGGCAAGTGTTTTAACTGCTGTCTGCCTCAGGCTCCCCTTCTATAAAATGGGGATAATAATAGCATCTTCCAGGATCATTGGAAGGATGAAATGAGAAAATATTTATAAGGTCCTTTAGAAGCCTTGGGGTGCGAGGTGTGCAGGAGGATTGGCGCCACTGGTGTGAGGGGGCTTGCTGAGACTTGTCAGGGATGCTTGTCCACCTTTGGTGTCTCCCTTCACACAGCCCTCACCTGTGGCTCTGAGAAGCCGTGGCGTGCTCAGCGGCCACACCGCCATAAACTGTCCCCCAGGTTGAGGGGGACCGTCGGTGAGTTGGGGGAGTGTCTACCTCAAGCGTGTGAAGACTTCTGGTAGAATGAGTGGATGAGAACAGTTTGTTCCAGTGGCCGTGAAACCAGCTGAAGCAGGCGCTGTGGCCCCCGTAGAGCTTGGTCAGACGTTGAGGATGCCCAGGTCATCCACTGCATCCAGGCCATGGCCAGTCCTCCTGACTTTCGTCCTGCCACTGCACTCCAGTGACACTGGAGGAGAGAGTGAGGCTGCTGGCTTTGTGCAGCTCTGCCTCCCTTAAATCCGATTCACAGGCAAGTCAGGACATCACCCTGTGATGTCATTGGTCCTCTTGGAAAATGAAGGATGAATAACAACATTTTACTGGCTGCTCTTATCATCATTAAATGGGATTTGAACTCAGATCCTCTATCCCGAAAGTCACTGTTTATTCCCACTTTACCAGTTCTCCTGCCACAACTTTATCTGCTTCTTTTCCTTCTTCTGGCTCCTGGTCTGTTTCCCAACATCTTCAGCATGGATGTTTCTAGATGTTCCACCCTGGGCCCTCTTCTCTATCTACTGCCTCTGCTGGAGTCAGTCTTGTTGTGTAAGTAAAGAATGAAAGAAAACTTGTTTAGAAAAATGTCAGAAGCCAGAGCCTGGGAAGGTGGTCTTGGCTGACAGTTCCTCTCTAATTTCTTACAAAAAACTTAGCTAGTTTCAGCTTTATTTTAGGGTTATTTAACCTCTTTTTTTTTTTTTTTTTTTTTTAAAGCAAGGCTTTAGAGACAGTTAGGTGGCGCAGTGGATGGAGCACCAGCCCTGAAGTCAGGAGGACCTGAGTTCAAATCAGGCCTCAGACCAAACACTTGTCACGTACTAGCTGTGTGATCCTGGGCAAGTCACTTAACCCCAATTGCCTAAAAAAAAAAAAAAAAGCAAGCCTTTTATCTCAAGGAATAGAGGAGGAGCCAGTATAGAAGACTCAGATGGGACCCAGCCGGAGTGGGCCCATCGCACAGGATGCTGAACAAGTTGGATTAACCGTGGGGTAAACAGAGGTTCTTTAAGCTCCTTAAGACTGTGAGCAGGATGACAAAGGCATCTACTCCCCAAAGCCTGGACTATGCCAAATGTTTTTTCCTAATGATGGCAATGATGGTAAAACAGTAATCCTGGGCCATTGTTTCAGTGACCTTTGGGAAAGGGCAAGGGAGGAAGGAAGCCAGTGAGCATCATGATTGGGAAGGAAGGAGGGAGTGAAGCATGTCTCATTCCTCAGTACAAAGTCTTGAGTTTCTGGAAGGGGAACTTTATTGATAGTTTGCTCCAAAGGACGCTGACCAGAACCCTGTGGGCCAACGAAGTCGATAAGCCCAGGTTCTCTTTGGCCACAGATGGAAGTGGTTCAGGGAATGATGAATCCTAAAGCTTCACAGGTCACCTCTAAGTGGATGACTCAGCATCCAGCCCTGCCTGACCATGTTATCATTCCTAGCTGTTCCTCTGAGGATAGTGGACTCCTCACTATTTTTGTTGGTGTCCCCGTCATTACCCCAGTCTCCCATCGTCAACAGCTTGGTACTCCTCTTAATCTATTACCTTTCCTTTCTTCTGGCCATTATCCCTTCCCTATTTGTTATATCAGTCCCCTTCTCTACTCACATTATCACCTAAGAGTTAAGACTCTCATTCATTGTCACTTGTGTGGGCAGTTCTTAGGATCACATCACGGCTCCTGGGTCATCCTCTTTCTTCACCCTTTGTGCCTCGGTAAATCCCCATCCAATCCAATGGACCAACTTGTAATTAAGTGGCCCCAATATGTAGAACACTAGGGGATTCTAAGATGAGAATGGAACCATCCCTGCCTTCAGAGAGCTAACATTTCATTGCAGGGAAGGTTAGGGTAAAACACAGAAAGGGATAAGTAAATACCAGAAAATCTGAGAAGAGATAAAGTACTAACTAGGGACATCAGGGGAGGGCTTTGAGGTCGAGGACCTAAATCTTAAAGGAAGCTGGGGATTCCCAGAGGCAAGTGAGACAGGGATGTACACAGGGCGAGGCCGGCACACAAATGGGGGTGGAGTATCAGTTTGGTGAATGGACTAGGTCAGTCTGTGACACGGAAGGTCAGAGGAGGAATCGTATAAACTGCCTTTGGACAGATACGTGGGAGCCAGATTGTGGAGGGCTGTCAACATCCAGACAGTGTGGAGGTTCTGCAGATTCTGAGCAGAGAGAAATAACATGATCAGAACTAGATCTTAGCAGTGTTACGGCAGCTCCTCAGAGTGCTGATTATCTGTGGTAATAGTAATAACAGCCAGCATTTACATAGCGTCTGAAGGATTTGAAAAGCACTTTACCACGATTATCTCATTTGATTTTCACAAGCGGTAGGTGCTGTTTTAATTCCCATTTTACAGATGAGGAAGAGGTTCAGTGACTTGCCCCAGGGTCACACAACTAGTAAGAAATTCTATGAGGCTGGATTTTAATTCAAGTCTTCCTGACTCTAGGGCTCTACCTGTTATGGGAACTGATTGATAGGGATTAGAAATGGGGAAACAATTTAGGAGGCCATTGTAGTGGGCAAAATGAGATAAGTGCTGGCACCAATTAATCAGCAAACTTGTTAATCAGCCTATTGGGTGCCATCTGTGGGGAGATGTGGGGGATGCTGCGGAAGCATCCTGAGCTCGTCCTAGCTTTCTGACGTCATGCGTGACACATCACTCTTCTCTACGTACTCTGTGGTTCTGTATATGTGATGCTTCATCTCCTGCCTCCATGCCTTTGCACTGGCTGTTCCCCCTGTCTGGAAGGCACTCCATGCCCTACTCACCTCCACCTCTTAGACTCCCTGGTCTGCCAACACTGCACCCCTCCCCCAATAGCTCAAACCTCTCCTTTCCCCCAAGTTCACCTGGCATCTGTTTTGCTTGTTCCGTCTAGGACTCTATGCATATTTCACATCCCCTGCCAGAATGTAGGTTCCAGGAGGGCAGGGACTGTTTTGTTTTTTCTTTGTATCTCCAGTGCTTAGTGTATGTTCGGTTGTTTCAGTCGTGTCTGACTCTTTATGACCCCATTTGGGGTTTTCTTGGTAGAGAGCCTGCAGTAGTTAGCTGTT